AAAAAAAAAAAAAAAAAGTATGGTGGTATAAGGGCAAGGGTCAGATGAGCCACAACCTCTTTTTTCTCCAGAAAAATTGAAATAATTTTACAGTGAACACCTGTATGAACACTGATATGGGATGACCAAGTTGCTCCTGAAGAAGTGTGAGATGGGAATATACGACAGCCCCCAATATCAGCCTAAAGACAGACAAATGGAACATGAAATAGGCCAGAAACGGACCCACACATCTAAAGATGGTGTACGTCAGAGGAAGCACTGTGTTTGTGGAGATAGAAGGAGGCAGTATCATGGACTGTTTGGTAAATTGTGCTAAGAAATTCAATTAGCCATTAGGAAAAGCTACTCCCGAGTAGCTGGGACTACAGGCGCCCACCACCATGCCCAGCTAATTAGACCCCTATTACATACACGTCATATACAAAATATGAATTCCATACAGATTAAAGACATAAATAAGAAAAGTAAAAGTTTAAGCATTGAAAAATTATTTATGTATTTGTTTATTTTTGATACAGGGTCTCTCTCTGTCATCCAGGCTGGAGTGCAGTGGTGCCATCTCAGCTCATTGCAACCTCCACCTCCCAGGGTCAAGGGATTCTCCCTCCTCAGCCACCAAAGTAGCTGAGACCACAGGGGTGTGCCACCATACCCAGCTAATTCTTTTTTTTTTTTTTTTTTGTAGAGACAGGGTTTCGCCATGTTGCCCAGGCTGGTCTCGAACTCCTGGACTCAAGGGATCTGCCTGCCTCAGCCTTCCAAAGTGCTGGGATTATAGGCATTAGTCACTGCACATAGCTAGATTCTCTGTTCTGTTCCATCAATTTATAGTAGTCTCCTTTTACTTGAGGTTTTAGTTACCTTCAGCCAACCAAGGTCCAAAAAAATATTAAATGGAAAATTCCAGAAACAAACAATTCATAAGTTTTAAATTGCATGCCGTTCTGAATAGTGTGATGAAATCTATTGCCCTTCCTCTCCATCCCACTCTGGATGTGAATCTTCCCCACGCTGTAAATGTTACCACCTGTTAGTCACTTACAGGCCTCAGAGTTATCAGATTGAAGAAACACAGTATGTGTTCAGCACTACCTGAGGTTTCGGGCATCCACTGAGGATTTTGGAACGTATCGCCCAAGGATAAGGGATCACTACTTGGATACGTT